TTCAGTGCTCTCTACTTTCTGTTCAATCTCCACCAAAACTTATATCGGTATCTCCTCTTTGGGTTTTTCTTACCTAGTCCAGAGGGGCCACATGGCTAATGATATATGACATAAGGCGTGTTCTTATTCAGCGAGCCTGTTCTGACAACAAGACGTGAGTGCAGATTTCTGGGCGGGAGAGCTGACCTTCATCTGCGAATAACATTTCCGGGGATAGAGCATTGTTGCTCAGTTCTGTGATAGGGCCACGCTTATAGCCTTGGCAGGTGCACCGAAGTGGCTGTGTCAGCAGGAGCCTTGAGAAAACAAAACAACTGAAGCGGTGGGATGTGCTCCCCGAGTCTGCTGTGTCAGGCTGGCCTGTGCTCGGACTCCCTTCTCCTTTCCTCGGTGCCCAACAAACCGGCTGTCACTCATCCCCTCGCAGCATTAGGCTGTTGCCATGGTGTTGTTTAGCTCTGCTGACAGGTGGGCTCTGACGCCATTCCCCCCCCCCCCCCTCCTCCTTCCCCCTCCGGGCCACACGTCAAACACTGCTTTCTCCCCTTTGCACCAAAAATAATATCCACGAGGCCAGCTTGCCATTATTTTGTTGACGTGTGCGTGCCTGTGCTCTTCTTATGCACAGTACTGATATCGGTGAGGGGGTTTCGTGCTTGTGTCCTCCTGTCTACCTTACCCATTTAGATGATAATGGGTAAAGAGACTGCTCTCTGTGGGAGGAACAATATAAAAGAAATGTTGGTCGTGTTTTTGCTCCTACACATTGGGATGTTTATATGGTGATATGTATGTTGCCTGAGCTCTGTGTTTCACATGTTTGGGAAAATCCCACTGAAATGTTGCTGACGACTCAGAAGAGGGGTTGCTAGGTAACCTGACGTCACAGGGCTGCACTGGTGTATAGGGAGGTAAAGCAGGAGGCTAGCTCATTAGCCACACTGAGCAAATGCCATGCTAGGCCTGATCTAAAAAAACCAAAAGGACTACAGGCTCTGTTATTCTGAGTTTATAATGGATTGGATGTCACATTTATCACAGGTTCACTTTGTGCAGTCCTGCTTCTATCTCCCATCTACTCCGTATACATGGGTCTGTGTGTGTGTGTGTGTGTGTGTGCACGCCAGTACATTTGCATACATGTCCATATGTAAAAAGGTTTCCAGCAAAATATGTTCCTGTCTTTTCACTCCTCCCAGAGAGGGAGCTGGTCTTACTTACTGGCCTCTAAGGCCAACCTCTGGCAGCTGAATGCATGTTGAAGTCAGAAATGCTGCTCTGTTTTTGTCCTTTTTTAGTAAAGCTTGCTTGCACTCTTTGGCATGTAAGACCTAAACGTTTGTATTTAGGCACATTCGATTTAGCCAAAGAAGCTTTTATGACAAGGTGCTTTCTTGTGTGCTGGTAATATTTCTTTTTCATTGGATTACATTCATTTTTATTATTTTATAATGCTCTCACTGCAGCTGATGATTGACGACTGCTCGCAGAGCTAAAAAGCTTCAGTCAGGGTCAACACGTTGAGAATTTAACTTCTTTCTATCATCTTTCATCTCTCTGGCCTCCAGTGGAGAGGCTTTTGTTGGCTGCTGTGAAGAAGCCTTTTTACATCCCAAGGCCACACTTTCCGAGAGAAGCGCGGTATGCTGTACGGGTTTCTGTCTGGTCGGTGAGTAGAGGAAGCTCAATGAGCAGAGAAAGACACACGCTCGTCGCTGTTGCCCAGGCACTCGAGAGGTGCGCGGTGGGTCGAAAGGTAGCTGGTGCCGTTCAGCTCATCTCAAGGTGCTGCTTGCTGTAATGGATTCTTACAGATAGACGGTGAGATAAGGACACTCTATACAGTCACGCTGAGCTGCACAATGCAGGCCGTTGCAAACCAATACCACGGCGAGCATTGTTATACTTACTCACAGGACCACTGCGCTCAACGTGGGTTATTTGGAAGGCATCAGATTAAATTGTTACAGCTTTACATTTTATTTGTGCAGACTCCAGTGGGATCATTTGCATTGATAGGCCGATCATTTATTCCTCTACAAAAACAAGGTAAAGCAATATTAACTGATGGGATGTTAACTGATGTTGGGTCTGATGTCATGAGACACTACAACAAAGGTTGCACCCAGCCTGCTAATTAAAAAAAACGGAGGAGAAGTAGGTGTCTGTGCATCTTGTTGAAAGGAATACTTTATTTAGAACCTGACAGAGTTACAGCTCATCTCAATATACTGGACAATAGTTTTATATTGTACACATAAAGGTGTACAGCTTGCAGTGGTGTTCTTTGGGTTATACACCTCTTATTTCTTTCTCCAAACATAAGCAGCATTTCTGCAGCCCAAGAGCTCTAGTTTTGTCTCATCTGACAAAAGGACACATTTCCAGTACATATAATCTTTCTCCAGGTTGTCCTTTGCATATTTCAGTCTGGCTTGAAGGTGTCTCTTGGTTTGTCACCTCACAGTACATTTCTGTGCAGGGTTCCAGTGATTGTCTTCTTTGAGATTACAATTCCGTGCTTGGCTAAGTCATTCACTAGTGTCTTAGCAGGTGTTCTGGTGTCTTTAAACACATCTCTCATTAGTTTTCTTTCTCTGTCAGACTTGTCCTGTACTGTGTTTGAATATCTTGATGGTACTGTGCTGTGGTAACTTTGTTTGTCCATCTACCTTTTTTCTCAAATCTAAACTGATTAGTGTCTCAGTTTTTAACTTGGGAATTGATTTTACAAACTCTGGGCATTACAAAGTTAAAGCACACCGTTGCACAGGAGTGCTTTGTGCTATGGCTCGGTTAAAAGGTCCGTTTTTCAGAGGGCTAATAATATCATGGTCATTTTCGCTTTCTCTGTAATAATTCTGTAGTGCAAATAGAAATACTACATTTCTTTAGAAACCATGAATTATGTTTAGAAATGCTATGATGAAAGCCCCTAGCTCTATTAAAAATAAAGAAAAAAATTAACTTTGAAAAAAATTAGAAAAATGACATGTAAAGGAGAGAAGAATTGGCCTCATAGAGGCATCACATTGTGCACAATGTGTTAAACCTGGAAAGAAAATGATGGCTCCTTGGCTCTGTCATGAAGTGGAGGGTAAAAGATTTGTAGAAGCTCAGAGAAAATAAGAAAGTTTGAAGGAAAATGCCCGTGGGACGAAACTAGTCACATGGGCACTTTCTTTCCATCACTCTGAACTTTGATGCTTCTCAGCTGCAAACAGACACATTTGCTTTGGCAGCACTGCTGATGCTCTCATTAGATGACCAGGTCATTGTTCCTCTGGATAATAATAGCAGTTTATATCTAATTAGCTTGTCTCTTTGAGGGCACAGGGAAACATTGGAGCTGTCACTGCAGGTACACTGAGCTCAGTAGAGGGGGAATAAACAGTAAGCGAGGGTGTGGAGATATTCACGTGTCTGACTTTATCGTAACAGAGGCTCATCTGGTGTCAGGTCAGTGTCATGTCACTCGTGTGAAAACAGCAGTTTTCGGTCTGTTTCTGCTTTAAAGGTGGTACCTCTGCAACAATAAAACCCTGCCAACACAGGTGTGACAGATACCCTTCACAGTGAATGCCTGCTCTTTCTCATGTAGCTCGTAGCAGACTCCCAGTCTCCCCCGCTAACCTGCCCCTCCCTTCTCTGCTATGTTCTCTATTGCTCCCTGCAGGTGAAGCTGATGAAATACATCTGTAAACAGCTCCAGTGCAAGCAGAAAGTGCCAGAGACAGAGAGGCCCGAGGCCCTAGACAGCTATCCACACTTGCGAGACTGGTTACGCACCATCAACCTGCGACCAGAGCTCATTGAGGTAGGTCATCGTCTGGGCGCCAGTACTCTGGCCGGAGTGACTGGCGTTTGTCTCCCGTTTACAGCTGTTCTATAAGCACATCAAAGACTGCGTATAAAAGTCTTTTATATGTAGTCTGTGATGTGCACTCAGTCAACATTCACATGTGCATGAGGAATTAACCAGCGGCCGTCAAAGTGCCTTTCAAAAAGAGAAGCTGCTTCATTTTTGACGTCCTGAGAACGGCAGCGCCAAAATCTAAACTTGAGCTGATTCATTTCAGATAACTGTTTCTACTGTCAAATTTTATTTTTTGTTACTGAAACAAGGCTCACAAAACTAGCAAAGCAAAAAAAGCGAAACTGGAAGAGACATGCTGGTCTGTGCTCGGAGAAAGTCTTGAATGCTTCAAAAATCTCATTCTCAGCCTTCTGCTGCTATTTATAGCTCCATGCCATGTTTGTAAGAGGGAAGAGAAGGCCCTTTTTATACAAGTGTACAAAGTGTACTTATCTTTATTATAGTTCTTTAACTGATCCACTTTTGCCTTTTCTTTTTCATTGCTCTAGCATTGTTGATGGTTACATGTACATTAAAAAAAACAGGTATATTAAAGTCTTGTTTTTCAGTAGATTCTTTTAAAATAAGATAATGACCTGTTCCTTGCCTAAAGATAAACAATTCGCATTTATTTAGGTGCTGGATCACTTGGGCTGTGGTGGAACCAGGGTAAGGTCTGTTTCACTTTCTGTCGGTCTCCCAAAAAGACAATGACCCAGAAAATAAAGAACTGACCTTGGGTGTGAGAACCATGTAGTGCAGTAAAATGTTTAATATGTGTTGTTCAGCACTGCTCAAGTGTCCCGCTCCTGAACTGTGACTCCAGCCTGCTAATCTGCAGCTGACACTGACCTCTGACCTCCTCGTGTAGCAGTGGGGAGTCTTGAGCAGAGAGATTTCCTGCAGAAAGCCTCCCTTATTAATGCAATTTCAGAACTCGCTATTTGCTGTCACTTCTGATCATGATGAAACTTTAGAGCATTGCCGTGTGCAGTCTTCCATTGCAGAAGCTACCAGCTGGTTAACTTATCATTTTTGTTTCAGTGTTGTTTTTAAGCTCCGCTATTGTTTAGTGGCTGTCAGCTGTTTGTTTGTTTGTTTTAACGCCTGGATTTATCATTTTTCTTATTGGGTTGTCAAAATTGTCTCTCCTTTCTCTCCCCCCGTCCTGTCCTGTCCTGTCGTGTCCTGCTGTAAACTGTTTTAATCCATGTCAGCTCTTATGTGTTTTTGTCGTTCCAGTCCATTTGTCTTTGTTTTGTGACCTGACGGTAACCTGCTTTATTTTTAAAACTCTTCTGCACTCGTTATTCTTTAATATGTGTCGGCCTTGTATGTGCTTTGTGTTGCGGCCTTGTTCCGTATCTGATTATTTGTGCTCTGTTTACTGTTTAGTCCATTCACTCTTAAACCTCACTTCCTTTCAAAAGAATTTAGCTTTGCATGAGACACGATGAGGTTTTCTGATGAAATAGAAAGTGCTCATTTGTATGTCTTGTAGACCGGCGGGGACATCCCAAAGGACGAAGGACTGTAGCGGCATTTTGATGACCTATTTAGACCAAATATTATTAGACTGAGATGTCTACAGCGCATCTCCTCACTTTATACTATGATGGCTAGATTATGTGATGGACAGTCCAGTTTTATTTGTAGCTGGATTATGTAGATGACTTAATACAGAGAATTCCTACTGGGGATTCTAACCTGTGAAGGGCCCATATTAATTAAAACAGAGCCGACATAATACTGCATGTATAGGAGGCCCCAGTGAAACGGTCACGTATGCAGGCTTTGCTGTAACTATGTTCTGAGTGAGGAAATAGAATGAGAGTAGAGGGCCGACAGCAACTTTAAATATCACATCACTCACCCCTTACATGTGTGTGGTTTAGTGTGTACGTGTGCTATGTTTTGGTTCTAGTGTACACACTAGTGTGGGAGGTTGCCCTAGTTTTGTGATCAGTGTTTGCCCCTGAGAGCAAGGGTTTAACCTGACTGATAAGTGATTGCGTACTTCCCCAGTCAAAAGAAACATCCTAAACTCACTGGATTTGGCCCTATTTCCTTCTGTCATCCATCAGTTGTTGATTGCGCTGTTGTTTTATTTCGCCGCTTCAGTAACTCGGCTGTAAAAAGAAAGCCCCGCCCTTCCAGGTTTGTACATCTCCAATCTTGCAGACTACATTTTTTTAAAGCACATAAAAGGCTGGAAACAGAGGAATATGAAAGGAAAACTGCAGTGCTAAATGCTTAAATAAGTGGGAGTTGGTAGTACACTGGAGGTCATAAAGAACGCCTCCACTTTTTTCAGTTTTTATTGAAATTTGAGGAGATTGACTTGAGCGAGCAGCCTCGGTGATTCACTGTAATGCTACAAGTTCAGATAAAATAAATGCATTAAAAAAAATTTTCAATAGTCAAGAAATGGAATTATCATCCAAATGGGGTTTGAGTATCAACCAAAGTGGAACAGTCTGGTTTACGACACCCTGTGATGCCTTATTGTTGAGTTTTACTGTCTGCTGAAATAATAAATTTTCAAAAATGGGAAGTAAAAAAGGAAGACAGCCTGGGTGGTTAGCAAGATGACCCAAAACATTAGAGAGGAACTAGACAGCGGGCTAAAAAGGAAAGCCACACAGAGACGAGTCTTAACCCTTTCATACATAGTGGTCACTACAGTGGACAGCTATTCAGAGGCTGTTTCCTTGTATTTGTGTCAGTGTTGATGGTTTAATAGCACATAAACCACTACATTGGACACTGCTGTGTCACTCCATAACCGGCCACCCATCTGGTCATTTAATATTACTATAGATGTATGACGTGTTTCATTGTAATCATTGTTATTTAACCCTTTCATGCATGAATTATGACAACCTCTATCAGGATTTTTTTCTTAAGTATTTTTATTCATCTTTTCATGCGTAAAGACGAATAAAAATACTTAAAAATCATGATTGAGGTTGTCATAATTCATGCATGAAAGGGTTAAACATGTGGCGCTGGTTTAGATGTGTAGAATTGGGAAAGCAAAGCAGAGTAGATGTATAACAAAATTAATTTCATAATTAATAAATCCGTGTTTAATGGTTTGTTACCATTAACCTAAAAGTGAAGCTAAACGTGTGCAATGTGACTTTATTTTGAAATTTTATCAACTTTATTTTTTTGAATTTTTGAATTTAAAATAACACAACTATTTGTTTAACAAATGCTTTGTGGCTTTTTGTAAAGTTCAGCGTGATGCCTCCAGAGCTTTGTAAATGATACAGCGTAGTGCATTTAAAAAAGCTATTTGCATGGTTTATCTATAAAGCTAAATGTTTATAATACTTGTTTTAAAGAGTTGTCACTGTGGCTGTGACACGTGCATCAGTGGACTAACACTAAAGGACATGTTGTGCGTCTCTGAGAGGCCCATGGCTCTGTATAAACGGCAGTATTTGCTGCTCTGAACATTGACCAGTGACTAGGCCTTCATCATTTACATAAATTTTTATATGCCCCAGTGTCATGAGAATGTAAATGTTGACAATGCTGATATTGTCTGGTATCAGCTGTGATATAACGCGTAATACAATATAATAGTCAGTCAAAAAAGTATCGCAAACTATTTACAATTTGCCTATTATAAAGTGCTACAATAATTTCCACTCTGAAACAAATGCTAGAAATATCGCAGCTGCTGAGTGGATTACATTTAGGGTTTAATTTCAATTTGTAAAGCAGTCACGATTAAGCGTTCTTTGTTTTAATTTCAAAACTGATAACTTTTGAGTATTAATAAAGATACAGACTTAATGCTTAATTAAATACTGGTCAGCTAATGTCAATCAAAACTAATGTGAGCACTGTTAACTTTAACACACTGTTAATCCTCCATTTGGATTTTTTTTTCTTTATTTATGACACCCAATACTTCATATTATTTACAATTCACAATTGTGTCCACATAGAGTATCCAAGCCTATATGAATTTGTGTCTTTATCCGTTCAGCCATTGGGGAAAAAGATTATAAAGCATGTGCTTCTGTTTTCTTACTTTGTGGCCCACTAGTGCTTCCCAGTTCTCACAGTGTGGTGTGTGTATTAACTCTGCATCTTACTGCATCACTGTTTACTTCCTGTTTTACTGTTGCCAAAGTTACCTTCACCATTGTACAGTCATTACACTTGTATAAGAGGTTTCACATAGACAGAAAATATTAAGCCATGTTTTTTGTCAAACCCCAGCTCAGCTTTGAACTTGGTGTTCAGCTTCTGCTCTATGCAGCTAATGAAAAATCAGATAAGCAGACAAAGTAGTGTTTGGAATACCCCAAACAAACAGGATTAACAGTGATTTCCAGGAACTGTCCCGAGTCAGATGTTGAATAACCTGCTGAGCACTGCAACATTCTGCCCTTTTTAACGCTCAGTTTCAGCCTCACTACAAACAGTGTTGTTGTGGCTGATTGAGGGTACACTCGGAACAAAAAATATTTTTTATGAATGCCATATAAGCATAGTTCTTTTGGGCTATTTTGCTCTCTTTTGTTGTACAAAGCTTGTCACTAACATACTGCTTCACGTTGTAATAGATTAGAGCTTCTGTCATGGGCTTTTGTTTTGCTCCTCTGCAGGCCGTGGAGGCAAAGCTGTCGCTGGATACCTTACTGCAGATGACAGGAGCTCAGGTGAGAGACACGATGCGAAGACTTGGGTCCAGCTCAGAAGAATGTGGCAGACTCGGTGCTGCCCTCTCTTGTCTAAGGAGTGCTACTGAATCAGGTATGGGTTTACACTTTGATGTTCCTAGAGTATATTTCCCACGGATTTTCTATTAGTCTTTTTATTTATTTATTTTTGGTCTGTTTCATGTCTCTTCCAGGAGGCGAACTAAGAGATGACAGCAGTCTCTGGCTGTCTGAGCCCACCAGGAGGGACAGCGGCTCTCTGCTGACAGCGGACCAGCTAACCAACCTGGGGACCCCACTCCGCACACACAGCCCCTCGCCTCTAGCCCGCCCATCCACCATCCAGTCCACCCCATCCACTCCCTGCGCAACCTTCCCCCACCCTCGCTCAGGCTCGGTGTCAGCGGCGCCCACGCCAGACGCACATGGCGACAGCCCTCTCACAGATCCATTCCCTATGTCCTTCGCCCGCGCAGCCCGCCTCCATGGGCACATCTCCACCCCACCTATAACGCCTCCTTCAAAGAGGCGTCACCGGTTGAAGCCTCCCTGCACCCCTCCCCCGCCATCCCGCAAGGTACTGCACCTGCTTCCCAACATCACACTGACGCGCAGCAAAAGCCACGAGTCTCAGCTGGGCAACCGCATCGAGGACCCTCCCACCAACAAGTAGGTGCTAAGCTGTTAATGGGTGGTTTGAAGAAACTGCTCAAGAATTCACCTCATTTGCAGCTTTTTATAAGTAGGTCAGACTGGAACTAAGTGGGGAATCCTCAGATGGCACTGTAATTGTGACAGATTGCTTCTGTTGTGGGGAGTGTGTATGTGTTTTGGGGGTTTTCTGTTTGCTTTTTTGGGGGGGGGGGTATCTTTTATTTCACTGAAATTTGAATCTCAGCTTGTTTTTGCAGGAAGTGTTTAGTTTCTGCTGCTTCACAGAAAGGAAAAGGACAAAATTCTGATTTGTGCTGGCCAGCAAACGGCGTTGGCCAGCTGACAAGCCGTCTCACAAGGGATGGTTTTTTTTTTTTTCAGTTTGTTATTACTATCAACTGAAAGAGCACTTGTTGTTTGACATTTTATAAAGGACTTGATAAAATGCCCCAGTCCTGCCCGATGTCTCACTCTTAATTTTGCCTTGCGCTCTGTCGGGACAGAAGCAGTTTTCCTTAGATATGTCCTCATTCGCTCTCTCTCCCTCTTCCCCTTCCTCTTTCACATCCGTTCACATACTGCCTGTTGCTCCTTTGCTCTCGCTGTATGAGTGGAGCTAATCCCCACGCAGATTCCCAGAGATTATGAGTCATGTCAAAACAGGAAGTATTTCCTAGTTCTAATGCTCAGAGGTGGCAAGAAACACACAGTTTCTCTCTATCCCTCTCTCTCTTAATATCTAATGTTTTTTTAACCTCTGTACTAGGACTGGCTGCCCAAGCACAATGCAATCACATGTTTATCCATAATATCGGTTTGTGGAAAACTTTATTTAAAAAAAAAATGGAATAAATGGCTAACATAGGACACTATATGCTTTTGGAGGTTTATTCTCACTCTGCATATGTTGTGCAGTATATTACAAAAGTGTTACTTTATGTAAGGAGGTCGCAAGTCGCAGTACTAGACTGATAGTCTTTTTGCAAATTTTTACAACTGTGGCTACTCACGTGTTTGTGTGCATGTGCGTATAAACCACAGACCTGGCACCGCTTAGCCCTTCACTCCTTGTGACTTCACTCTGGGTGTTAAGGATGTCACCCTGCCCTTCGTGTGCCAATGCAATTAAGGTTCTCCAACGTGCCTCTCCCAGGCCCTTACATAATCTGTCCTTTGCAGTATAGTAAGTAAGCAGTTCAGTATACAGCACCTGCTGATTCACTCTTCTTTCTGTGCGTTTCCAGGTGTGTTAAAAAGAACAAGTTGTTCCTGAACATGCAAGTCAACGGTAACGGATGTGAGGATTCGCCTTCTCGCTACCCCGCCGTGTCTGCAAGGACACCCGGTGCCACCCCAGCTGCCAACACAGCACCTTACACCCTTCCTGGAACTCCCACACTGCTGGAGGAGCACAGCACAATTAAGAGTGAGTCAGCTGCATGCATGCACTTTTAATTTTGCTGAATATACCTGCTTAAAGTGGACTTATTGTGCTAATTTCCAGCTTCGTAGATCAAAATAGTTCTTGTATACGGGGCCTTGGTGCAACTTGTCAGTTCATTCTCTTAAAGACAGCTTTACTTTGTTTGTCTGAACAGATCTAAAGAACAGGTGTACTCAAAGCTTAAGACTGTGTGTTGTAAATGACCACATTAAGAACACAACCACTAAATGAGATATAAGAGTAAAAAATGCAGTCTGAAATCTGAGCTTTTGGCTCATAGGAACTGCTACTACAGATGCACTGACATCACTATTTGAAATTTTGGCAATATTAAAATTGGAATCCACAGAAAAACAGGAGTAAAGACATGATAGGTCCACTTTACTGACACGATGTAAAAGTCTTTGGTTCTGCAACATTGCTATAATGATCTTGTGTGTGTTTTTGTGCTTGAATGTAAATAAAGGCTTTAACTTAACATCACCTCAGTCAGCCATCCTTGTAATCATTACTCATCATTTGCATTCTTTCTGTCTCTTTCTAGATAATGTAGCAGTGCATCGCAGCTCCCCACAAGCAATAAGGAGGGATATAGGGCTTGCAGTCACGCACAGGTAGACCTTTCAATGCCTAGAAAAGATAGATTTGCTGTTAATGCAATAATGGCTCAAGAGTTGGGAGTTCGTCCTGTAATCGGAAGGTTGCCGGTTCGAGCCTCGGCTTGGACAGTCTCGTTCGTTGTGTCCTTGGGCAAGACACTTCACCTGTTGCCTACTGGTGGCGCCAGTGTCTGGCAGCCTCGCCTCTGTCAGTGCGCCCCAGGGTGGCTGTGGCTACAATGTAGCTTGCCATCACCAGTGTGTGAATGGGTGGATGACTGGATGTGTAAAGCGCTTTGGGGTCCTTTGGGACTAGTAAAGCGCTATACAAGTCCAGACCATTTATAAATTAAACTTTACAGCGATCTAATACAGAGTGGGTCCGTAAGAAGCTTTTATGTTTTGTTTTTTAGGTTTTCCACCAAATCCTGGTTGTCCCAGACATGTCAAGTGTGCCAGAAAAACATGATGTTTGGAGTTAAGTGCAAACACTGTCGGTGAGTTAATTACTGTCACAAACACAACCCAAAAAAGTGGTGAAAAAAAAAGCTCCGTTAGAAGGCACATGTGTTTTAGGAAGGTGGGAATCTGATGTCTTGGCTAAATCTTGATCTGGGTGTAAGGCACGTTGGTGCTAATTACGAATTACCGCTAAGCCTCTCATATGCTGCCTATGTTTTTTGGGGTTTTTTTGCTAATGCAGATTAAAGTGCCACAACAAATGTACAAAGGAAGCTCCATCCTGCAGAATCTCCTTTCTACCAAGTAAGTTTTCTTTCATCCCACGCTGTGCAGCTGATGGGCTAAATCTATTTGGCATTCATGCCTGTTTGTGACATGATTGGTTTTCTCCCACAGTTGCCAAAATTCGGAGGACCGAGTCAGTTCCCTCTGATATAAACAACCCAGTGGACCGGCCGCAGGAAGCACCGCAGTTTGGCACACTACCAAAGGCTATTACGAAAAAGGTAAATTAAAAGAACTTTCAGAGAACTGCCGTGTGTGTAGTCCCTTTTTAATTACCTTGAACTATTATGCCAATACATATACCTCCATTATCTCCATCATCTGTCCATGCTAACCATTGTAAAGATAATGTATCTGAAATCACACCTGACTATTAAAGTGTGCACTGACAGGAAAATAAAGCATAGAGCTTGTTGAAGGAATCTTGAAGGCAATGCAACATGGCTAATAAATAGCAATCATGCTTAGTGTTGTAACCTTCCATCCCGGTCCCAGCAGGATCATCCACCAGTGCTGAACCAGCTGGACTCCAGCAGCAACCCATCCTCCACCACTTCATCCACACCTTCCTCCCCAGCACCCTTCCAGCAGAGCAACCCCCCCAGTGCCACACCACCGCCCAACCCTTCACCCAAAGGTCATCGAGACAGCCGATTTAATTTCCCGGGTAAGCTTGGGTACAGAATCACAATCACAGATGCACAGATACACATGTAGAGTATATACTGAAACATGCATGCTGACATTGTTCTGATTTTTCCTCAATGCATTTGACGATGAATCTTTTCCGGTTCAGGAGTGTGGCGCTCCCACAACTACTTATCCTTTTTCCCCAAATACACAATATTAACACTAAAAGGAGTTTTTAAGAAGATCTCTTAATTCAAAGCTTCTCTAACCAAAAACCCTTGTGTCCCTTGTCTTGCTTATCACTCTTCCAATTCTCTTTTTCTTTGAAAAAGCTGCCTGTTACTTTCAGCATAGACAGCAATTTATCTTCCCGGGTGAGTTGATGGTCCCAAAGTGTAATACTACATTGTTAAGATCCCTTCATCCCTCTCTCCCTCCACACCATGGCTTCTTTACAGTTTTCTGTCTCCTGCATGTTTGCTTTTAAGGGTTATAGTAGTTAGATTAGCTGTGTTTGACTGTGTGGCAGCATTCTGATGCCATCTGCTGGAAGTAGTAGGAAATTGCATGAGCAGTCATGTTCATGTGTGGTGCTGGCTCTGTAGCTTTTGCTCCCATCGGTCATCCCTAACTGGTGTCATTTTCCTCTGCAGATGTTTCCAGTCCTGCACATTTCCACTCAGATGTTCTTCAGGACAGAGTGTAAGACTTTTTTGTCTCAAGCTTTAATCCAAGTTTTAGTGACTACACAGTGGTTTTGGTTATTTACAACCCTGTTTCTTAAAAATGGCAGAATGCTCTAAAATGTAAATAACAGCAGAATGTGATGATCTGCAAATTATGTAAACCACATGTTTAATTGAATAACACAGCAAAACCTTTAAATAAATGTAAAATGTTGAACGTGAGAAACTTTATTTTGCTTTGAAACTTCAAAGTTTGTCAATGACACTTCAATTAAAGATGATCCAAAGTAAATTCAAGCTTATGCACCCAATTCTTGTTTTTTTTTAAAGGCTTTAAAGAAGTATGCTGTACAATCATTCCACTCTGGAAACAGAACAGTTCAAAGAAATCATTAAAACTGGCCTGCCTGCAGTATAGATCTGTCATCCACGGAAAACATTTGGTGCTTTTATCGGAATCTCACCTTCACCATTTGTCATGATGTCTTTGTACTATTTAAAATGAAATATAGAGCTTAAACTAGCTGCAGATCATTGTACTCTGGCATAACTTGCATTTTGTGCAGTGTCACTCTTTCGGAAACAGCCTTTTATTTATTTTTTTTGTCTTGCTTTGAACCCCTCTGATATCAGTGTTCTGTGTCACAGCAGTGAGATAGAGCAATCATCAGACGACGTACATGATGAGCTGGTAGAAGATGACGATGAAGAGGTAATGCTGGAGATGCAGTCTACAAAATATTCTTTTGTTGTACTGTTTCCTGGCTCTTTGCTTATTAGTCTGTACAGTGAAGCTGTTCAGTGTCACACCTTCAGAAATTGGTTTTGTTTAATTTTGTTTTCAGTTTTTAGACACTCATACTTTGATTTCCTAAAAGGTTGGACAATTGTCAACTGGGGTATGAAATTAGCTCAGGTGACTGAAGATTGAGATTTAATTAAAACATCCAAATGTGACTAAAAGTCCCTGTGACATCTGTTGATTAGAACCTGCTCAGGTGGCAACACTGGCTTACAAAATGTTCATCGGCAGTTTTAAATTTATATTTGGTAGATTTCTTTTTTAAATCAACTTTTACAAAAACCATCGCCACACTATTGCAGGAAGGGGATGAGGAGGTCGAGGTCGAAGATGAAGATCACGAAGGGGAGGAGGAGGAGGACGATGAGGAGGATGATGAGGACAATGTGGATGGAGGAGAAGATGAGGACGACAGAGGGGAGATCAGGATGCACATGGGCTCCGACGGCGAGTGCGACGAGCTGGATGATCTGCCCAACTCTCGGGGAAACCAGTGGAAGGGCCCCATCTCCCGCAAGGCCAGTCAGACCAGCGTTTACCTGCAAGAGTGGGACATCCCCTTTGAGCAGCTGGACCTTGGGGAGCTCATAGGAAAGGTGAGGAATCTACCCAACGAATTCCTAGTGTGTTGCACACTCGAAAAAAATAAAAAATCAGACAGTTTGTGTTTTGTTTATCCAGGGCCGCTGGGGAAAAGTGCACAAGGGCCGGTGGCACGGCGAGGTGGCCATCCGGCTTCTTGAGATCGATGGGAACAATCAGGACCACCTGAAGCTCTTTAAAAAGGAGGTGATGAACTACAGACAGACCAGGCATGAGAATGTGGTCCTCTTTATGGGAGCCTGCATGGCTCCACCCCACCTGGCCATTATCACCAGGTGAGAACAAAAATATCACAGGTTACCTCAAAAACGATTCTAAACCGGATGCATGTGTTTGCTTTAATAGAATGATTTTCCTCTAACTCCTGCAGTTTTTGTAAAGGGAGGACACTCTACTCAGTAGTTCGAGACACTAAAAACACTCTGGATATTAACAAGACAAGACAAATTGCTCAGGAGATTGTAAAGGTATTTGTTTCTTTTTTGTGTGTTAATTTGTGAGAAACGTGACATCTTAGGGGGGGAAAATCATGTTACGTACTAAAACATAGCAGAACTGTGTAGTCAAAGATATAATTTTCTATTACTGTGTTTTCCTTTGTCTGAACACCGTTGGCCTGGACAGGGAATGGGCTATCTGCATGCCAAAGGCATTGTTCACAAAGACTTGAAGTCAAAGAACGTTTTTCATGACACCAATAAGGTTGTGATCGCAGACTTTGGCCTGTTTGGGATCTCTGGAGTTGTTCAGGAGGGAAGGTAAGAAACATGTCCACCGCTCCACACCCCAAAGAGACCTTAAAACTATGACCTTAACTAAAGCAGTGCTAAAACCACTCTATTACCCGGGGACGCCCACTGATCTGTGATAAGCTGAGGTCTGCAGTGCTACTTCTGTAGGCATCTCCTTTCTCAGCCAGTAAAAAGAGGGAACTCTCCTGATTGTAAAATTGCAATCATTTTCTGGACACTCTTGATTTCTGAAGCACGTTTTGAGCGCACATCTTACTAATTTTTGCCTCCTTTTGTGTATGGTTCATTAGTAGCTAACAGGAGTAAGGGACTTTATTTAGTGAATGCATTTTGTCCTCTTAATATATCTTTTCCCCTCCATTTAAAGTGTTACTGAAAACTGCTTTTTTGTTTGTTTGTTTTTCCAGGCGTGAAAATAAACTCAAACTTCCACATGGCTGGATTTGTTATCTCGCACCAGAGATTGTGCGCAGAATGAGCCCAGGTAACAATGAGGACCGCCTTCCTTTTTCCACCGCAGCAGATGTGTACGCCTTTGGGTAAGTTCTTCATGCACATCTAGTTGAGTTCTGTCATAACTTTCACTGACTAAAAAGGAAGTCCACCATTTGAATTAAAAAAAAAAATGCTCTTCCTTTTCCCCACTTCAAGCACAATTTGGTATGAGCTTCAAGCTAGGGACTGGCCAATCACTAACCAGCCTGTGGAAGCTACCATCTGGCAGGTGGGGAGCGGAGAGGGCATAAAGAAGATTTTGGCAGAAATCAGCCTGGGAAAGGAGGTCACTGTGAGTTGGACCATGAGTGTGTCAGTCATTCAGAAATGTAGATGTTTGTTCTGCTTGTGTAAGAGAGGAAAATACCCATGCTGATGCAACGATATCAAGATGTTGCAGCAGTTTTTAGGTCAATCGATTGTAGTTCACAGTGCGGTGAGTGCGGGTCAATGGTTTGCCAGTCACATTGAAACGAAGTGGTTTCTTGTTTCAGGAAATCCTTTCTGCCTGCTGGGCGTACGACTTGAGAGAAAGGCCGACCTTTACGCAGCTGGCTGACATGCTGGAGAAGCTACCCAAACTCAACCGCAGACTGTCCCACCCTGGACATTTCTGGAAGTCTGCAGAGTAGGTATCCCAGAAATGAAGGATGGTGTGAAGACACTGGACCTGTGAACACAAAAACCTTTCTTTCCTTTTTCTTATTTGTTTATTGAGAGTAGAATATCAGATCAGAGCTGGGTTCAGCCTTAGTACTGGGCTCAGATGAAATGTGAATTTTGTAATTTATAGCTGGAAACATGACTTCTGAACTTGAATTCCTTGCACAGCACTGTTTATTGAAATGAGACATTTTTGGCAAAAATAAGTCTGTCATACAGAACTTTGTTACATTTGTGACCAACAGACTATAGCTAGAGTGTAAATAGGTAATGCATAGATATCAAATTAAAACTCAGCTGAATGCATGTAGATATTTGGACGTAAAACATCTAATCGACTCTTTGCTTTAGTCTTTTCATTCTTACATAGACCACCTTAACTACTTCATGCAACCACATATGCCTCTTTTCCTGGCACTAGCATTAACTTTGTTATAGCCTCACGTCTCCACTGTTTCCTATATTTTATGCAGTATTGTCCAGAAGTGTTCAGCCACTCCTCACTTCTTTATATTTTGCTTTCAAGGAGTCATAATAGTTTTCCTGGCTTTTTGAAGGTCTTTCAGAGTTTTCCTTTAATTTTCACTCATTAGTCCCGTGTATGAAACTGATCATTTTCAGAAGAAAGTAAGGAACCAATTTTAAAATGTGGCTTTAGGCACTTTGCTTAGCAGCCTGTTGCAAAAATCTAAAATCTCTTACCATTTCTTTAGTTGAAGAATGAAAGAAAGCAAAAAAATACAGATGAGAGTTTATGAGTTTGACAGACATAAAATTGTATTTTTGCACCAACAAGGTGATTCCCAAAGACCGTCACTAAAAACTTTACATATCTCAGCATGGTGTGCAGTGTGTCCATTAAAAATTTTGAGTAACTAGGCAAGTAGAGGACAAAAGAATAAGTGGTCATTATAATAATATTAAGTCATTATTGAAGCAGTGTGTGATCACCTTGATAGAATACAGAACAAAAAGCAGCCAGCATCCAAAGAAGTGCTCCAAATGTCCTTCATGAAGCCTGAAGACTACTTCAGGAATAGTTATACCAAATATTCCAGAGCCACTCGCCTAGCTTGGGAGTCACTGCACCTAGTGCTCCGATTACCACTGGGACCACCGTCACCTTCACCCTCCACATCTTCTCGAGCTCTTCTCTGAGCCCGTGTTCCTTCTTCCTGATGTTGCTGTCATTCGGAACCGCTACATCGATCACTACGGCCGTCTTCTCATGTTTGTCTACCACCACTATGTCTGGTTGGTTAGCCACCACCATTTTGTCCGTCTGTATCTGGAAGTCCCACAGGCTCTTAGCTTGGTCATTCTCCATTACCCTTGGGGGCATCTGCCATTTTGACCTCGTGACTTCCAGGTTATACTCGGCACAGATGTTTCTGTACACTATGCCGGCCACTTGGTTATGGCGTTCCATGTATGCCTTGCCTGCTAGCATCTTACACCCTGCTGTTATGTGCTGGATTGTCTCTGGAGCATCTTTACACAGCCTGCACCTGGGGTCTTGCCTGGTGTGATAGACTCCAGCCTCAATGGATCTTGTGCTTAGTGCTTGTTCCTGTGCTGCCATGATTAGTGCCTCTGTGCTGTCTTTCAGTCCAGCTTTGTCCAGCCACTGGTAGGATTTCTGGATATCGGCCACCTTCTCTATCTGCCGGTGGTACATACCATGCAGGGGCCTGTTCTTCCATGATGGTTCCTCGCCTTCCTCCACTTTCTTGGGTTTCTGCTGCCTGAGGTATTCACTGAGCACACTGTCAGTTGGGGCCATCTTCGTGATGTATTCGTGGATGTTCCTTGTCTCATCCTGGATTGTGGTGCTGACACTCACCAGTCCCCGGCCCCCTTCCTTCTGCTTAGCGTACAGCCTCAGGGTGCTGGACTTGGGGTGAAACCCTCCATGCATGGTAAGGAGCTTTCTTGTCTTGATGTCAGTGGCTTTTATCTCCTCATTTGGCCAGCCTATTACCCCAGCAGGGTACCTGATCACGGGCAGGGCGTAGGTGTTGATAGCCCGGATCTTGTTCTTACCGTTCAGGTGACTCCTCAGGACTTGCCTGACCCTCTGCAAGGGGTTCAGGCCTATGCAGAACAGCAGTGGGGACAGAGCATCTCCTTGGTAGATCCCACACTTGATGGTGACTTGTGCTATAGGCTTGAGGTTGGCCTCCAGTGTTGTCCGCCACATCCCCTGATGAATGCTCCCAGGGTCCTGTTGATCTTATATAGTTCTAGGCATTCCAGGATCCAGTTGTGGGGCATTGAGTCATAGGCCTTCTTGTAATCAATCCAGGCAGCGCACAGGTTGGTCAGTCTGGTCCTGCAGTCTCGGCTGACTGCTTGGTCTGCCAGTAGCTGGTGTTTTGCGCCTCTGGTATTCTTGCCCATCCCTTTCTGTGCCCCGCTCATGTGTTGACCCATGTGCCTGTTCATCTTAGCCGCTATGATGCCTGACAGGAGCTTCCGCGTGGTGCTGAGGCAGGTTATTGGTCGGTAGTTGGTGGGGACCGGTCCCTTCTGGGGGTCCTTTAGGATCAGGACCGTCCGGCCTTCGCTTAGCCATTCCAGGTGTCTCTCGTGAACTAGCAGCTGGTTCATTTGTGCTGCCAGGCTCTCGTGGAGTGCAGTCAGCTTCTTCAGCCAGTAGGAGTGAACCATGTCAGGGCCTGGTGCTGTCCAACTCTTCATACTGGAGACCCTTTCTTGGATATCTGCCACTGTGATGGTTACTGGACCCTGTTTGGGGAGGTCGCTGTGGTCTGCCCTCAGATCCACTAGCCACTGAGCATTGCCGTTATAGGTTGCGTCCTTCTCCCATATGCTCTTCCAGTATTGTTCTGCCTCCAGCCTGTTCTCATATTGTTCCCCTGCCACTGAGAGTACACCTTGGCTGGTTCCGTGGAGAACAGCTGGTTTATTCTCTTGCCTTCTATCTCTCTGGTGTACCTCCTCAAGCGGCTGGCCAAGGCTGTGAGCCGTTGATTGGCAGTTTCCAAGGCCTCAGGTATGGACAGCTTCCTGTACTTCTTAGGCACCTCACTCATCGCGCCTTTCTGCAACTCCGATAGTTGGCTAACCTCCCTCCGTGCTGCCTTGATCTTAGCCTCTAGCCTCCTTCTCCATGGAGGGTACTGCCCCTTGTGGCTGTTCAACTTGTAGCCAAGCATCTCACTGATCACTGCTGCCGTATTGTAGATCAGCTTGTTAGTGTCGGTAATCGTGGCTGTAGGTATCATCCGTAGTGCTGCATTAACATCATCTAGGAGACCTTCTGAGGGTACTTCACGTAATCTTGGTAACCGGCTACGGGAGGTCCAGGTTTCAAGCTTGGCCATGATCCTATCTTTCAGGTCAGTTCCTCTTGCACTCAACGATCCTTCTCCTATCGCACTTGGGGCTTGGTACCCAATCTCGGGTGGGGGTGATGATATCTCCCCCCTGACCTGGCGTCCTGGCTCCCCCTTGCCGTAGCATTT